CACCAGTGGGTCACCATCAACCGGCAACCTCGCCAACCGGAACTTCTGCAGCGCCTCCTCTCTGTCCACTGGGCTGTCGAACTCCGCCGCCAAACGCTCCGTAACTGTCTCCCATGTCGTCTTCCCATCAGCACCGTCCAAGCTGTCATATACAGCCTTCGCCCTGCCTCTCAACAACGTCCCCAGCACCACCAACTTCGCTTTCGGCTCCTTCACTCCCACCAGCTCTGCCACGGCCTCAAACTCCTTCAGGAAGCTCAGCACATCTCCGTCCTCAAATTCCTTGGGCCATGGAATCTTCATCCTTAGTGGAGGCAGCGACACCAAATGTAGTGAACAAGAACACGGGTGGGGACAATCGAATGTATTTAGCACGAAAATTACAGACTATCTCAACAAAATCTGAATACCATAAAGTCAATCGTCAATTTGCAAATTATCAATGCATCATATCAAACTGTACTGTTCAAGTTGCAAACACTAATCCATTGTCTCTCATTTCATTGTTCATGCGATTTCTTACAAATTCCATTGCGTTCTTGCTCTTCTTTTCTTGATCTTCTCCATTTTCTGCTGCCAGACATTACATCCTTTTAACGCACGTTATATACTACTTATGTCAATATAAGTAGTTCACACCACACTATGACCCAACTGGATCTTCCTTCTACTCAAAGAAGTGTGAAATGAAACTATACATGATTTATTTATTTATATGCATATATACACGTATACAGCAGAAAAAACAAAGCATTGTCGAATCAGTGACAAAACAACTTAAGGCGAATCACGATAACGTTCAAATTTGATATTTTTACGCTTGTTCACTTTCTTGAACAAGTATCTTTGCAATTTATACTCAGCTGTCAATTTAGATGGTTCGAACTCTTCCATCCATGCAACGATAGCTGGATTGTTAAGTCGCGAGCATACACGTTGATATTCATTTCGTGCACCTAATACCCATGGAGGTCCAGTATAAAAATCACGTGGTTTTATTTTTCCGTCACCTAGAATATCTAAAATATGAGGAAAATAAACCTACTAGTAATAATGCCATTTAATAAATACGAAAACTAGTATAATCATTTGGAAATATATACGAAGTATTTGATAAGACTGAGTACAACATACCAGTAATTTTACAGTTTATTGTGATGCAGTGGAGTAGTAACTACAAGACGTTAAGTCTTGTAAACAGTAGACTGCAGTTTTAAACTCTACTCCGGTTCGGATAGCTAGCTAATATTATTAATTCCCATGCCCAAAGGGTTGACGTCTGAAGTCTAGTACATAATTACGTACTTGGTAATTGAGTTACTACTTTAGTTAATCAAAATTGTTACATGTGTCGGCTTGTTAATAATGAACTTTTAAAACAAAGCGAAATCACAAAAATGATAGCAGAAATACGAACCATAGTGTTGAACATTTAGAAATTAGACTTATATATCAGTGAGTAACGGAATGGAGCCTAAGTTCATTTGTTGATATATTAGTAATACGTAAAGTTTTAAGCGAAATGGAGTAAAGTAGATGATAGGGTTCAGGAATTTGTATGTGAGAGAGGTTGTGTTACGTATACATAGTCACTGTTCATTCTGTGTGATTCTGGGTAAAGCAGGATTAATCTGTTAAAAATTTAAGTGTTGTCATACCAAAACATGTCATCGGTCACTGATTGGTTATTCTAGTCGTTTATAGAAATGAAGAATTCTCGATCATGGTTCTCTAGTTGACGACTAGGATATAGTTTTAAAAAGTAAACATCAAAATGATGCAGATATATTCATGCTTTCATTTCCAAATACTGAATATCCTATTAGCCCTAATAATTACTGAGCTCCCAATGTAAGACTCCAGATCTTCTGAAATGTTATGAAGTTTGACGATTTTGATGAGTTAGTGTGCAGCTTTGATATAACTGTTTGCCTGTGTCAATCCCTCACAATTAAATACATGTACACATTTATACAAGAATAACTGTTCTCAGAACATTCGTTAAACGACGTGAATGTTAATATTTCTGTGAAGATCATACACACCACAAAACTAAAAAATGATTGAACGTCACTAGGCAACAAGAAATAACATGATCCTGGGACTTTTTAACAATGTTTCACCTTAAAAGTATCATAAAATAAGCACAAAACCGTAAGGCTCTGTTAAAGCCTGGTCAAAATAAACTTTTTGCGTCTAAATCCAGTATTGAAAATCCGTCGACACCAAACAAGTTATGATCGATGAGACCATTTTCTGGTATCGCAAGCGAGTATCTCATACTATAGAGTTCATAAATTGTAAATTTTTGGTTTAATATCTTCGTCTTTTTGAAAATTCCATTATCTTGAAGATATTTTCAATTTCCATAAAACTAGGTTATACAGATCTGTGTGACAACAGTGACGAATCAGAGTGAAGTTTGTTTTGTTATGAAAATACAAAGAAAATGGTGAGTAGATGCAACAATCTACGTTATATGTAGGAAAAATTGGTAAACATACCAATGTAGTCATTTTGACCAAAATGTGCTCTATGTGGGGACCAAAAGTCTCGTGGTTTATGCTCAGGTAGAACAACTTGTCTGTCAGTAAAATTTAATCTTGGAAGCAAGCCACCATCATACATACGTGGATTATATCGTATATTGAGTGGTTTTGGTTGTACATACGCCTCTGAAGAACTCCCACTGGTCTTACCTGCAATCCGATGATTAGGCACACGTATTAAACTCCTCACTCCTGTTTCAACCTCGCAATAAGTAGTAGAACATCCTGGTTTTTGATCAGGATTCACGCCAAGTTTGTTCCAATGCTTTTGGTTGCCTGATGCATATTTTGAAGAAGTGCTTAGAGATATTGAGAATAAGTTATCGCATTTTCTCACGCAACTTAGAAAACTATGACAACAAGGGAAGCTGTTTGACCAACAAAGGTGAAGTTTTGGAGATATCTGAAACTAAAAAGATAATAATTTAATATTATGTCTAGAATCCAAAGATTACCTGATAAGATGTCAAAATTTAAAATTGATTGAAATATCCATATAGTCTGAATAGTTGTTTGAAAAGTACATCATCGTATAAGTGACTTGTACGATGGGGTGAAGTCTAATCCATTCGTATTGCACAAGACAGTGGGCATCTGGACTCAGTAGCTATGTGATTAATGCGATGGTGTTTGAGGCGAACGGTGTTGGGTTCGAGTCCCGGAGTGAATATCAACTCTGATAGCAGGATTTTACGGCTGGCGAGTCCCCAGTAGGACGAAAAGAGCCTCCTAGGTTCCATTGTTAGCCACTATTCGTCTCTATTTATAACAAACGAGACAGTTTTAAGTTAAATCTAAAGCTTCTTAAAAGACAGTTTGCTGCTCATATATATATAGTCAGCTTCGAAGATCCTAACAATCTCAATATAAATTGTCTGTTTTACACGGTAACTACGTAGTACACAATGTCAATTTTTTATAATACTTACTGTTAGCGGCTACTACTGATCAAATAAGATAACCGACTATCTTCTTCATCTTTCTGATATCTATAAGTAGCTATTGTAATGATGAACAAAGTCTGCTTCTAGAAATATTATCCACCACAATAATTGTTCACTTACTAAGTAAATACAAACTTGCACAGATGGGACATTTTACTTATAATAAGTAATTACTTAATCCCTATACTAAACACTTTTAGGTAGCTAAGTTTAGTCTAATGGTTATTAAGAGGAACTTGAAAAAAATTCGTCTTACCGGATTTTATGGTTCATTGTGAACTCCAAACTTGGTGAGTAAATGAACCACTTTCGAAGTTTACTTTCCCCACGTAACAACATTTTTGGACGTTTATAAGTGATATTCGGAAATAATTCTATATTAGTTAATTTTTATGAGGCGATATTAAGGATATACTAAGATAATTAAAAATGAAGTGTAACCGACGTTATTGCAAAGTAATATTCATAAAAGCCGTAGAACATATTTACTCTATCATGAAAACTTCACTAAGCCTGACTCCGTAATTCTCAGTGCCATATCAAACAGGTCATTATATGGTCAAGAGTTGAAATATAGTATTTAATCAGTAACATTAGCTATACATCATTACAATTACCTTATACAGTAAACTAAACCATCTCAACTCCCAACCTTCTAGATCCTACATCTTAAGATTATTTATAAGGTGTTAGAGGCATCAAAAGTTAGTGACAACAATTCGGAGTTAATGAATTCTCTGGAAAAAACTAGCAGAAACAAAAAACAACTGATGGATCACATGTCCTAAAAAATAACTTACCATAATTCTAATGGAAAACTGCAACCTGTAATTTTAACCACACTGGGAGTAAAGATACGTTTGATCTCTATGGAAGATGGGGAAGTGAGAAACGAAGAAATCTAACAGGAAATGATTAGGACGACTTTATCTGGCTAAAGTATTTCTTATGAAGGTTCTTTCATACAGGATGGGATTGTTAACCTTATACCTAAACCTCCTCCCTTAGACGGGTTTAAGACTGGCAGTAACCCAAGAAAAGCTCCAGGCGGGATTCAACCCTTAGTGATTATTAGCAATTCGCCACCCAGTAATGAAAAACTATTCCGTGTGTTCAGAAACCACCCCCAATAGGAAAAACTACATTTAATATTATTTGTTGTACTTTTTCCCGCCTGTTGGTTGTGTATTGTGCATATTTTGTAGAAAAAAATTACAATGTGCTTAGAAGCAATTAACATCATTTGAGTGCAATCAAAACAAAATTTTTCATCATGGGTTTTCTGTGGATATCGCTGTTTGTACTACCACTCAGCAACAAAAATGCATTCAACAAAAACTAGAAACTAGTAAAAAAACGTTTATTGATATTTCTTATCTATTGTTGAAATATAAAAACGTTTGACAAGAGGTCAAATTTTGTACACGGATCAAAAGTTAACACTGTCATCCTGTATGATGTTATCATGATTGTAAAAGTTACCCAGGTTAAAGTAACAAAATTAATATTAGTGAGGTCTTGGTGTGTACTGTTCAGTTGTTCGTGTTAAAGACCCTGGGGATGTGTATTGCGAATACGTTTCAGAAGCCATACGATTTGAAGATACGGTTTCAACAGAACTAGGAGGGACCTGATTGTATTGACCAGAAACATATTGTTGTGGTGGGATAGGTGAAGGAAATGAAGAATGGTGTCCAGATGTCACGCGGTAAACGTCAGTCGAAATAGTAGATTGTTGACGTCTATCGATATTAGGTGAACGGGTAGCTGTATTAGTATTGGAACTGTATGGTCTACTGCTGGTGTGATGGCAACTACGTCCTTCTTCATTCGATGGAAAAGATGGTATTTGTGGCAATGTATCTACATATCCTTGATTTGGATCACCAGCAGATGGTGATATACATGGATTAGACTGGATAGAATAAGGAGTAATCTCAGATTTTATAGCCGTTAATGGAAGAGGACTTTGTTTTGCAACTGTATTCAGAATTGAAGATGTAGTGCGATCCTGGTTATTATCACTTTTCTCAGCTGGAGGAACTAATGGCACATTCCCTGTGACGAGTGCGCTGTTTGTCTGACTTTTTGTAGTCATAGCACGCAATTCAGCTTGTAAATGTCGGATAGCCTCAACTAGGGTTTGGGCTTCATGAGATACTTGATCCGGATCTGGGATACCATAGTTCAAACTAGCTGAAGTGAAGCATTCAGGAGGAAGGCCAGCCCAAGCTTCCAAGTTGTTTAGATGGACTTCAACATCATTCATCTGAGAAAAGACATCTGCCAAATGACTTTGAAATCCATCAGCATCGTAGGAGAGTAAGCTATAACAATATAATGAAACTTATCAAAATGTTTTAAACAAAAAGCACTTTCTTAAAAGTTGATATTAAGATTAAGAAAGAATTTTCCGTAAAACAGAAATCAGGATAGAAGGGTAAAAACACCATACAGATCATACGTATAAAAAAATAAAACCGATCCAAGTAATTATCTTTATAGAAGACAACGTATATCCCAGCTTTCCTCATTAAGTTTACTAGCTAAATGACATCACTCCTGGGATTAATTATTATAAAATATTTAGCGAAACCACAAGTCTAGACTCCCAACCATTGTGCTAAACCTTAAAATCCACTTTACTGAATTCAGCCCTAACAGCTGTATATTGTAGTTAACCCTTAAATGGTAATTATGTAATTAACCATAATAGGAAACTATTTAGCCAGAATCGTACTATATCGAACTCTAGAGACTATAAAGTGGAAATTTGATTAGGTATGCAAAATAGGTGGTGTATTTTGGTAAATGATAATGAAGCACCTACATTTATAGGTGATATTAAAGGATTTTCGAGAAATTTTCCATATGCTGTCATGAACGTGGTAGGATTTGTAGTGCGAAAAAGTCATACATCAACAAAAAACGCAGCATTTTGCTCGTTGATGCAAGACGGTTAAAAAATTGTGTGCTAACAACACAGTATGACGTAGATTATAGTAAACAGTTTAAGAAGTTTCATTTAATGGTTTTAAGTACATCATTTCAATAAGTTTAAACCATAACTTGATATTCATTCTAATGAAAATACCCGAGTAAATTACAGAACCTGAGCTCCAAGTTTAGGAAGACTTACAGATCATTTTTTAGCGTGATTTTATGCGATAAGCCTAGTTGTAGCTAAACCATTCGCAAATAATGATTTAAACAAGTGTCAGTGAACATTGTTGTTGCAAAATAAGCATAAAAGTAACTTAATTAAAGCATATTTAAAATAGATAACTTGTACTGTCATAGTATACACTTTGTTTATCATTGTATGTTGTGGGTATTTCTAAAGCAAACTTTGCTGGATAATTTACAAGTTACCTAGTCAATGTCCTTGTACACTTTTATAGTTTCTTTTCTTTTTTCGAACACAAGGAATTTGGTAGGATATTTACATTTTGTTGTAACGGGTGACTGCAGATTACGGAGCAGCGTACTTATCGATCGATTCAGTGACAGGTAAACACGTAATGAACGACCTAGAGTCCCGATTGGCCCTGCTTCGCTGTCTAACCTAGCCAGTTGAGTCCAGAACGCAAGTCACAGCCTCTGAGATATGAATCATTATATTTCAAACACACTCTTTTTATATACTAACCAAGCAGACCACATCGTACCATAAAATAGAAAATAACATTTACACAATATTTAACAAGTGAAACAAACATCGACCAATAGGAAATGTACATTTAACGTCCAATGACACCATTCGACTTAACACGATAATTATTGGTATATTCCTCTGCATACCTAACACATTTACCGATGAATTTACTTATTGACTTATTAAAATCGTCAATTAAGCTTTTGCACAACATAGGACATTCGATTAAGATAACTTCATCTGAAACTGTAACTTTCAACGTTCGATAACCACTTATTATGTGTACATATCTCAGTGTAAAATATTTGGTATAACGGATTGTCAAAAATATTTTTTCTCTCTCATGTGTACTACAATAACACGTTAATATGACAAGACTAGTCACACTATATCAGATCCAGGATTAATGACCCACAATAGAGAACCAAAGTATAGACTAGATAATACCTTATTCAACACCATTACAAGCAGTCAGTCTTAATGAGTCTGGAGTAAAAATCATAGCAGGAAAAAAATCACATTAAACAACCAGTAGTCTGTGCCTGTTTGTGCAAGTTCAGTGACCAATCATATTTTACTCTCAAGATAAAAAAATAGCAGGATGCGTTTAAGCATGGACACTTTCCTGTTGCGTACGCTGTGAGAGGGCATTGCGGGGGGGGGCTGAAAATGAAATTTGGTTATGGGTGGCGGGAAGATCTGAGAGCGTGACTACAGAGCCTGGGGAACAGCTACTTAGGGCGTCATTCACGGCCTTTTTGTGAAAAGCTGTCGATGACTTAGGGCTCTTTCAAAAGACCTAGTGTCTAGAAATGGATATCAATGGTGTAAGATGAAGTGCAATAACTATGATCGGCCTTCTCTAGATACTTCCTTATGATGTGAGAAGGCATGGCCATTTCGAATCCTGGTTGTCTGAGGGAAACACCTTATTGCTATCACATTCCTGTGAAGTCAACATTGACCCTCGGACCTTAGGTTCCCGTTTTTAATCTTATCGTCCTCCAACCAACCTGCCCAGTATGGTAGAACATAAAAAATAAGCATTCCAAGCAGTATAACTCGACCGGGCAGTCACAATAACTAAGCCCGAAGACAACATCAAGGTAGCAGCTACGGTTGAGATACTCGAATGAGTCAAAGAGAAAGTGTAAGACGATGGAAACTCTCTTGTTAAGGATAGTTTAGACTTGAAAAGCAAAGCAACTAGTATTATGAACTATCTGTGAAATGACAGGTTATATGATTCAACAGAAACAGATGATAACAAAACTGGAATTTGATCAGGTGTAACAAAAATGGAAATGACAATTTAGTATATTTATCTTAGAATTAGATTACTACGTTTTACTAGACTTTAACTTCCAGTCAATGACTATCAGTGTAGAACTTAGCACGTATGTATCCGTTTTCTACCTACACTAGGAACGCACTATGGGAACCCAAGTATTACTTAGTATAGTGAATTAGTTGGTAGTGTCCTCATCATACGATGGAACAGTATATTGGTACGACCACCTATAGGGATTTACAGTGCATTTACCTGGCTAAATGAAGCTGAGTACTATGTTTGGATCAGCTTTCGAATAACCAGTGTATAACAGGGCAAAATAATCTAGGGAGCTTACATAAATTAACAAGATGATATACCGCAGCTTATTTTGTTTTGGTATACTTTTTATGCACGAAATTCTGAATCGTTAGAATATGATGATCATACTGAGTAAACTATTCATATTTTAAGGTTAAAATCACATTTATCTTATCAACATAAGGTCAAAGATTACCAAAATTACAAACCTACTTTCCTAAATCACATTCCATTTTCTGCATGATGATTGAATGATATTGTTCTAATAGACTCTGTTGAGAAAAGTAAAATGGTGACATGACAATCGATCAACCAACTTACCATAACCTTTTCTTTAAGAATATTTAAAGAGTTGCAATAACGATCAACCATTGTCTCGGAGCCACGGTTTACATTTTCACTTTGCGTGTATCCAGACATTATAAGTATGTAAAAACAGCAGTAGGGTCTAGTTCAGAAAATTATACTGCTGTGTGGCATCAGGATTTAAAGTATTAAGCTAAAAATAATAAATGATAGTTTTGTTAGCATCAAACTAGCCAACTAAGTTTATTTATTTCAACACATAGATATTGGTACAAAGAGGCACCAAATACATATGCACCACACAAATCTCATTCGATATGTGTGAGGGCTGTGATACTGCCCGGGTGCCCAAACCGAAGCAGGTGGTTTTCTTAGGGGGCCACACCCCAAGCCTTTGACTTGAGGGTCTGATCCACAAGGCAGTGGAGCATCGTGAAGAGATGCAGTCCCATGGAAGCCGGTGACTAAACGATTGATTCATGCGCCATTTGTTCCCGCATGATACTGGAGCCCATGTGCACCATTGGTTTGGAATCCGGTTAAAGCACCGGATATTCGCTTTTCGTCCTCTCATTTTCGTAAACAACACCCCCGCTACGAGAAAGCAGTGAGTAGGACTTCCCTGGCAGAGGCTATACACGCGTGGCCATGTGAGAGCATTTCGAGAGGGAGAGCGGACTCTCCCCACTCTCGGCCGTACCAGGGCATTTGGGGGCAGCCAACTAAGTACTGGATGAAATACCTGCTGACGTAACTCCCGAGACAAAAGAAATGGGTGACTTGTGGTTGCATAATGCTAGGTTCAACAAGCATATAGCCATTAAACTAGTCGCCGTCGTTTGTGATGCATCTGCTCATTCAGATGTTAGATATACAGTGAATCCCAACAGAAAAGTAGTCTGTGATAAGTGTGTACTAGTGGGACGTCACCTTGAAGGAAGGATTATTTTCAAAAGGTGAACTGGTGACAATTTACGTCAACAGGTTTAACCTATTCACCACTCCCTCTTGATTCGATGCCCTTGATATACTTCGGTGTGTTGGAGAAACCAACCAAACTATGGCTAAATTTTTCGTACAAAAGACTTAGAAACATGTACAAAACTATTGTCGCGGATATAAATAAATCAACTTCGTGTTTCATTGAATATATATTCCTTCAAACATTCAGAGTAGAAATCATATATTAAACTGTATGTTTGTATGGAAAAAATTCACTAACGCTGTACTTACTTTCGATAAGCTTAGCATTAATGATATATCTATTGGCGCATCCTAAATTAAAGGCAGCGAAATAGATTGAGCTAGGTATGATTTGTAATTTTCTTTGAGATGAATAGTGCTACGGACCCGAACACTTAGTTTATGCTGTACATTCGTCAAAGCATCTTGTTGATGACGCTAATTTGGATTGATCTTTAGATCTGAAATAAAACTTCCCATTCGACTCTTATAAGAGGCGGATTAAGAAAGAGCATAGAGGTTACGCTAAGTTAAGCAAACAAATCAGCGCTATGTAGACGCGTCCGTCACGTTCGACTAAAAGAAACAAATAATTATGTTTAAGTGTGCTAGTCACTTTATTTAAGCCAGATAATGTAAGTGTACGGTAAACTGGGATTAATAACTGAAGTAGGGTAGAGCTTTTACTGACTCGTTAAAATATTTGACGAAACCATTTCTTTCCAATGAGAGGTATAGTTATGTGCTCTATAGTTAGTCATGAACAAACATAGGTTTCTATTAGCAGCTTATATTGAACACGTATATCTGTTAATACATACGTTCATATTGATATATTTCTGTATTTTGTACTCATTATTTTGGAATTATTTCTAACCTTGATATATTATTTAGCGTACAACTGAACAGTTTGTACTCATCAATGCAACAAGAAGCAGGTTCTAACTGCAGCAATCAAGTGAATTATCGAACAAGAGTTTTATGTTCTCTGGCGAATTCGTGGATATACACCTATGGAACATTGTTCAACTAGATAATTGAGTGATTATGAAGTTTGAGGTTATCCACTACAGTAGTGAGTTACATATACAAAAACTTTCATTCACTATAGACAATTAACAAACTGCGAAGGATGATGGTTTCATTCAAAAATTTGGCTGGCTACCGTTTTGATGGTTCTAATGACGAAAACACTGCCACTAAATACGAGGAAGTCCAAGAGGTCAGTACAGTAATCGTATTGATAAAATTGGGTCAATCTTTTACAGAGAAGCATTAAAACGAAAACCAGGGAACTTGTATAGTCCTTGGATGTGATTGGTACGTCCCTGAATCATAGTCTCGCCGTTTTATTTGGTCATGTGTTACGATACTTGAAATGGTCAATCACTAAATGTTACTACATCAAAAGCACTTCATCGGTGCACACCTTATGACAGAACATATGACTGTTCACAAGTTATGATGTCTCTTTTCGCGGTAAGCATATTTAAATATGTAATAGGACACCTAAGAAACTGAAGCTAGTATATGCATACTAAACCTCATCACCACTGGGATGATGTAAAGGCATACACTCAAAGTTGCGCTCACGTACAAGGTCTTAATATCAGACCATCCAATAAGCGAAATCATTTGTAGCGGTAAATAAATCCCCAAAATAAATAACTCTGTAAGTTTTCGAAATTGGATACTGACCACATGTTTTAATGGACTCACCTAGCTAAAGGCGCTCGGTCATGCATCCGCACCAGATCACGAGTGGGAACGCCGTGCTCAACAACCCTTGCAATCGCTAGCCAGATTAGATTAGACGATTCTCGATATATCGATAGCATATCAAATATATCTTCGAACTTACTTGCTTTTGTCTTTTGATTTCTCTTGGTGGGTACGCTTCATATAGAAGGTGTTACTGGTTAAAGCGTTGTCAAAATCCGAATACCTGTGGCATCTTCATTGGTGAGTCTAACGTAATGTGGTACACCGAATCGTAAACTGTGAGTCTGTTCCTTTTTGGGTTACCACATATCATTGCCTTATCTTAATTTTTTTACAGATTGTGGTATTTTTTGTTTTTGGATATATATATATATATATATATATATATATATATATATATATATATATATATATATTTCCCTTTCATTCTCGTACTTCATATTTCATCATGATTGAACAGACACCCAAAGTACTTAAGCTTAAGACTTTGTTCCCACCCTCGTTCCAACTCATGCCTTTCTGGCCAGACAACATGGAAGCCTGGTTTTACTACGCAGAAGCCGACTTCTCCGAGCACGGCGTGGTCGTTACACGTGCACAACTCCTCGCAGTAGTCAAGGCACTACCGCAGGAACTCAACAGGTACGTCACACCTAATATGTTTACTAGTGATGTTTCTGAACTTTACGAAACGCTGTAAAGTTCTATTCTTAAACACGGGAACCTAACCGATAGACAAAAGTTAGACCAATTCCTCAATAACATCGACCTGCAACACGGTTCTGCGACGGACATGTTGCAACGAATGAGAGGTTATAGGCCTGGGAACTTTCGACGAAGGCCTATTCAAACAACTTTTCTTGTCCAAACTTCCCCAACAGGTGCAAGCTGTGCTTGTCTCGTTTCAAAACAACGCCTTGGACGAGCTGGCTGAATCTGCCGACTGCATTTTAGAAATCACAAAATTTTCTATTACCGAGGTTTTTTCAGTCGAAGAAAAGCCCCAAAGACCTATAATGACATAACAGATTTATGTCATACACTTACGTGTTATCTTAATTTTCATAACGACCGTAAGCGATCACACACCACACGTAGAAGCACTTCACATAAGCGATCTGTCTCTAGACAACGAGAGACGGATAATCCCGATTGGTGATGATATCATAACCAGTATGTAAAGTCTTCCAGAAATTGCAGGAAACCCTGCAAATTCCCCAACTCAAAACCGAGCGACACGAAAAACAACACGGGAAACTTCCAAGCCGGCACTCGTTAACGGCAACCGTAGCCGTCTGTTATACGTCACAGATGTGACAACGAGAGTTCGCTACCTCATCGATACTGGCGCAAAAGTTAGCTTTCTCCCAGCGAATTCCATAGACCGGCTTCACGAATCAGTTTTAAACTTACAGGCGGCAAACGGAAAACCTATCGCTACGTGTGACAAAAGGTGCGTTTACCTTCACGTGGGATTACGCAAACCCATTCACTGGATCTTCGTTGTTGCAGATGTTTCTAAGCCAATCATTGGTATAGACCTTCTACAACAACATAAACTTATCATCGATACGTGCAAACGGAGGCTAGTAGACGGAAACACTAATTTATCTGTTTGCGTAACTTCCTTTTCTGGTTGCAGATCATCTCCAGTCACAGTTAAGCACATGATAGACCCATTCCATCAGCCACTACTCGATGAGTATTCTGGGATACACCAAATGCAACCGAAATTTCCATGTGTAACCAGCAACGTTACATCACGACTACAGGACCACCTGTATTCTCTGAAGCACGCTGACTAGCTGCAGAAAAGCTAAAGTTGGCGAAAAACGAGTTCGATCACATGATAGACTTAGGTACCATAAAACCGTCAAACAGCCCATGGGCATCTCCTTTGCACATGGTTACTAAAAAGGACAGCAACGATTGGCGTCCAACTGGTGACTATCGTCGATTGAATGCGAAAACCATTCCCGATCGTTACCCGTTGCCTCACATTCACGATTCGACATCTACCTTGAAGGGTACAACTGCCTTTTCGAAAATCGACTTGGTTAAAGCGTATAACCAAATCTCAATGGCTACAGACGATATACCGAAAACAGCTATCATTACTCCCTTTGTACTCTATGAATTTTTGAGAATTCCATTCGGTCTAAGAAAACGCTGCTCAAACATTCCGAAGGTTCCTAGACGACGTTTTTCGAGGTCTCAACTTCGTACATGCGTATGTTGATGACTGCGTAATCGCAAGTCCGGACAGAGAATCACATCTCAAGCATCTGGATCTTGTTTTCGACCGACTACAAAAACATGGCATTACTGTACTCATTAAACTTCCTAAGACACACTATAGATGATCAAGGCATTCGACCCCTTAGGACTAAAGTGACGGCCACTCTGGATTACCCAGAACCGACCACCAT